CTAGGCTGGAGTGCAGTGGCACAATCTTGGCTCACTGCAACCTCCGCCTTCTGGATTCAAGCAATTCCCCTGCCTCAGCCTCCCCAGTAGCTGGGATTACAGGCACCCACCACCACAGCCGACTACTTTTTTGTATTTTAGTAGAGACAGGGTTTCACCATGTTTGTCAGGATGGTCTCGACCTCCTGACCTCGTGATTTGCTCGCCTCTGCCTCCCAAAGTGCTGGGATTACAGGTGTGATTCACCGCGCCCTAGAAGAGAAGGGTCCAGAGGAAGCAGGTGGGGTCTGTGCCTGTTCCTGAGCAGCTGGATGCCTATCCCACAGAGAGGTCTCTCTCCAGGCTCTTTGGCAGTCCCCATCTTTCTTGTGAAGTATGGTTTCGGGTAGAGGTTTATTAAAAAGGGCTTAGGAATGAATGTGAACTCCCTTTGTGTCTGAGGCCTCCAGCTAGTCCAAACTCACATGCCAACCTACACTTAGCCTTTAAGACTCAATTAAAATTATAGCTGATTTCTTGTCCTCAACTAGTTTGGCAGTAACCTCTTTCTCCTGTGCTCTGCCAAAGGTGAAGGGGTTCTTGTGTTCTCCCTGTCTTTAGAGAGGCTTTTCTTGTCTCTCTTTGGAGTTCAGGTTATTTGGTTGCCTTGCAACCTCAGCTCTGTAATGGGCTCAGTGGAAGTTACAATTTGGTAGATTATCCAGCCTTTTTCATTACGATATTGGGAATGACAGTCTTTGTAGCTTTCTACATTCTAAGTCCATTCCACAAATCTTTATTGAATGCATACTATGTGCCAGGCATTATTCTAGGTGCTGGGGTTCGACACCAGCTTGGCCAACAACCCTGTCTCTACTAAAAATACAAAAATTAGGCAGGTGTGGCAGCGGGTGCCTGTAGTTCCAGCCACCTGGGAGGCTGAGGCAGGAGAATTGCTTGAATCCAGGAGGCAGAGGTTACAGTGAGCTGAGATTGTGCCACTGCACTCCAGCCTGGGCACTGCCATCTCTCCATGAACGTGACACAAAAACCCTTGTTTTCAGAAAGCCAGTTTCTGGGCAAAGAAAGTTTTCCACCCAGGGCCTGGCCTGAGCTGAGGGCCAGAATAAAAAAAAAAAAAAGACAGGCTGGGCGCGGTGGCTCATGCCTGTAAGCCCAGAACTTTGGGAGGCCCAGGAGGGCAGATCACGAGGACAGGAGAGCACGACCATTCTGGCCAACATGGTGAAACCCCGTCTCTACTAAAAATTTTAAAAATTAGTGGGATGTGGTGATAGGCGCCTGTAGTCCCAGCTACTCGGGAGGCTGAGGCAGGAGAATTGCTTGAATCCGGGAGGCAGAGGCTGCAACTGAGTCGCGATTACGCCACTGCACTCCAGCCTGGGTGACCTGCAGGTGGCTCACACCTGTAATCTCAGCACTTCGTGGCCGAGGCAGGCGGGTCACAAGGTCAGGAGTTTGATATCAGCCTGGTCAACATGGAGAAACCCCATCTCTACTAAAAATACAAAAATTAGCCGGGTATGGTGGCAGACGCCTGTAATCCCAGCTACTTGGGAGGCTGAGGCAGGAGAATGAATTGAGCCTGGGAGGTGGAAGTTGCAGTGAGCCGCGATCACTGGGTGACAGAGCAAGACTCAGTCTCGGAAAAAAAAAAAAAAAATGAAGCTTTCCACCCAGGGTCTGCGCTGAGCTTGGGGCAACGATAAAAAAAGAGGCCAGGCGCGGTGGCTCACACCCGCACTTTGGGAGGCCGAGGTGAGCTGATCACCTGAGGTCGGGGGTTGTAGTCCAGCCTGGCCAACAAGGAGAAACGCCATCCCTACTAAAATACAAAAATTAGCCGGGCGTGGTGGTCCGTGCCTGTAATCCCCCTACTCGGGAGGCTGAGGCAAGAGAATCGCTTGAACCCAGGAGGCAGAGGTTGCAGTGAGCCGAGATCACACCATGGCACTCCAGCCGGGCAACAGGGCAAGACTCCGCCTCAAAATAAATAAACAAAATAAAAAAGGAAGGCGACCAGCTAAGGTCCGGCGTCGAGGCGCCAGCACTCCCACCGTCTGGTGCCGAAGGATGGATGGCGCGTGGGCCCTTTCCCCTTTCCTCCTCTGCCCTTTCCATGGAAGCAGCCCGTGAGGCGAAATGGCGACCGATCAGGCAATAGGTTGGTGGATCCTAGGGCAGGGCGCGTGGCAGCCAGCCCCACCCGTGCCCGGCCTCTCCCAGCGCTGGGGGCGCCTAGCCGCGCAGCGAACGGCGCGCGAGCCTTCTGCGCACGCGCGTGCAGCGTCTGGGACCCGGCCCAGCAGCGCCGCTGAAGCGACAGCGGGGAGGGGAAGCGAGCGGCGCCTGCGTCCCGGCGGTGGGCGGGCCCGGTAGTGGGCGGGGTTTGGGGCGGAGCCTGACCGTCACGCGCAGCCCCGCCCCCGCGGCTTCGTCGCTCCTGCTGAGGCGGCAACCGCTCCTCGTCTGCCATTCCCGGTTGGAGGGGCCAACTGCGCCCCAGCTCTCAGGTGACGATGGGGGACCCCAGCAAGCAGGACATCTTGACCATCTTCAAGCGCCTCCGCTCGGTGCCCACTAACAAGGTAGCGGCCGCGGGCGAGTGCGGACCTGCCTGGCATCCCTGCGAGACCCGGCTGGCGGCCCCTGCGGGCGCCAGTGGCCGCGGCGCGGGAGGCGGGGCCGGCGCGGCCTGTGACACGTCGCACTTTGGGTCCGCGGCGGCCTGGCCGGGACGGGGCGGGCGGGGCCGGGCGGGAGGCCGGAGCGCGGGGGTCCTGACGACGCGGGCCGGGGAGAGTTCCCAGGGGCAGTGGCTCGGGCACGCGCCCCAGCGAGCCCTTGGGCGGGGAGCGAGCACTGGGGCTCTGAGCGGGAGCTGAGGCATCCTCGGGGGCGCTGCGAGGAGGGGGCTCCCGGCTCGGAAACCCCGGCTGCTGGAAAGCGCGGCTCGCTGGAAGCCATCCTGGAGCTCACCTGTTGGAGCCAGCTTGGTTCCCCTGGCCCTGCGGTGTCTGCCTCAGTTTCCCTTCTGATAAAGTGCCAAGTAGTCTCGGCCCTGGCATCCAGCTTTTGTCTCTTTGGCCAGGGAGGCTCACCACTGCCTCCTTCCTGCCCTCGGCTCTCATTGGAGATGGGGGTTTTCTTTTTCTTTATTTTTTTGTGTCCAGAGGCCGTTTTCTCCCTACAACTTTTACAACTTGGGGAGCTTGCTGGAGCTGTTGGGGTGACGCAGGGGACTAAGGTGACAGTCGGGTCGGAGAGGAAACTGGAGAGTGCAAAGAGCTGTCGTGTCGGCGTGTACTCTCCCCGCCCCTCCTGTGACACGAGTTCTGTCTGGTCCCCACTGCCACTTCCGAAGGGAACAGCTGTTACTGAGCATAGTCCTGAGCCTCGACATGCTGGCATAGAAAGTTCCCGAGTGTTACAAAATAGGTGTTTCTGTTGGTTTCAAGTCTTGATGGTACAGGAGAGTCTTTTTTTTTTTTTTTTTTTTTTTTTTTTTT